GGTTCATGGTGGATGACTATAGGCCCAGCTATTTGGGAGGCTAAGGTAGGAAGACTGATTACACCCAGGAGTTTGAGGTTGCCATGAGCTAGGCTAATGCTGCGGCACTCTATCCTGAGCAAAGGAGCAAGACTCTGTCTCAGAAAAACAAAACTAAAGACCCTCTGCTTCATATCCCCCACCCCCCACCCCCTGCAAGATTGATTTCTGGCACCCAGGCCTGACTCCCATAGCCCCCACAGTGGTGGCTCTGCCTGCCGCTCTGCCTTCACCAGCCTGTTTTCATGTTATGGCCACACTGGTCACAGCAAAAGAGGCATCCTGCCCCTGCTCAGGCTCCCCCCACCCCACCTGCATCATCTCCACCAGGGCCACCAAGTCCGCCAGGGATATTTCATCCCCAGTGATGAACATCCTGTCCTGCAGAAACTTCTCTTCAAATTGATCCAGACTCTTCTTCACCTCTCTCAGGATCTCTTCTGTTTTCTCAGCTGGAACCTCCTCCCCTGTGATCATTGGGAGCAGCAACTGGCCAGGGTTGGGGAGAGGAGAGAAGAGGAGGCTGGACCCCAGCCCCACCTGTCCCCCAGGCCTGTATGTTCCTGTCTACTAGACAGACATTGTATGCTAATAAGATCATAAAGTAACGTCACCTCTTTTAACAGTTCTGATTGGTGGATGTTACCCAGGATGATCTATTCAGAAGGCTTTGGGGAGCTCAGCAGGAACAGATTCTGCAATTGATTAGTGATGTCTGTCACAGTCATAGAAGTAGTGACATGTGTACTGGTTATCAGTCATCTTCAAATTTGCTGATCTCTATGGGCCCTTTGATTCTGACAATTCTCTGCCCTGGCGTGAGTAACATCAGCTCCTTGAGTGTACCCTTCCCCTTGTCTGAATAACACTTTTTTGTACCCAGTGGTTTTGGCCATACTCCAGACAGCCCAGACAGGAGAGAGAGCTGAGGAATGAGGCTCAGAGAGGCATGGAGACTAGCCAGAGCTCACCAACGGTTACTGGGCCCAGGACTGGACCTCAAGATTTCTGACTTGCTTGTCTGCTTGTCCCCAGTCCCCAGACATGGCTCTGCTCACCTTGATCCAGAGCATCTTGTTCATGGGCAGTTGAATGGCTGTGTGCTGCCAGGCCATGAACTCATCCACGCGGGCACGTGTGTGCAGGTCTGGTGGGTACCAGTGCGAGGGTGCACTGTACTTGCGGCACAGGTAGAAGAGGATGGCCACGCTGCAGAAAGGGCAAGTCAGGGGCTCCACTCTTGCCTTCCTGAATGCCTCAGCATGGTCTAGGACTAACTTCTGGGTCTCCCCTGCACAGGCAGGCTCTAGGCAGGAAGGAGCCCAACGGATACCAGGAAAGGGCTCCTCCAAAGCTGTCAGACAGTGAGGGAGGGCAAGGAAACCTGCAGGGTGAGTAGGAGTTGGTGGGTGATGTAAGAAGAGGCAGGCCTGCAGGGGAACAGCAGGTGCTGAAATGTCAGATGAGAGGTAACCAGGTGAATTTGGGAAGAAGAGATTAGGTGGGTGTGAGCAGGGTGGGGAGTAGTGAGACCATCAGAAACATAGTGGAGGCCTTGATGAATGTCCCTGGGGGTGCAGGAAGGATGTGGACTTAATCCTTATGATTCGGTTACATACACCAGGGGATGAGAGGATCAGTCCCTCTGGTGTTAGAGGGAGGGTGTGGCCAAGACAGCAGAATCACCAACAAGGAGGGTCATTGGTGTCTGGGAGGGGCAGAGGCCATGGGGACCCAGGAGGAGAGGGATCGGAGACACACTCTGGGGGATGTCCCAGACCTGGCTGATTGATGGCTAGTGTGAGAAACTCCCCAGGACAAAGGGCTCTGATTCTTCATTATCAACAACAACAAACATGCAAAGTCAAACATCAGGGCATGGAGACTAGCTATTAAAAGAGGTAGGAGAGACAGATCAACGTGCTACAATACTGGAAATTTCTTTAAACTCTGACTCAAACAAACTGCCAAGAGAGTATTTATGGGATAATCAGAGACTTGTGGATAGAAACTAGTTACATGATGAAACCCAGGAGTTGTTGTTAATTTCATTAGGTGTTCTAATAATATTGTGGCAATGCTTTTTTTTGTTTTGTTTTGTTTTTTTGAGCCCATTTCTATTAGAGATACATTCCTAAGTATTTGTGGGCGAAACGATAGGGCATCTGGACAGCAGGGTGACTGACTTGGGGACATATGATGCCACATGGGCTCCAAGTTGACAATGGTTGGAGTTGGCTCTGAGTTGTGGGGTCATTATGTTCCTCACTGGTTAATACTGGGGTCATTACAAAAGTTTTGAGATACACAAAAACCAAGAATCATAAAATCTACACAGACAGAAACAAATGAAGCCCTTCTAGCAACATGGATAAGCTGAGCAAGTTGAAACTTGCACGGGTGAATCAGAGGATGCTGTCAACTGTGTTGCTTGGAAGTGAAATAATGGATCATAATGCTGTCTCAGAACTTTCATAGTGACCCACATATTCCTTATGTAAAGTTTCAGTGAACACGTGAAAGTTCCCACAGTGAGAAAGACAAACACTCCCATGGAGTCTCCCAGGAAGAGTAGAGACAGATGGCAGAAGGGCCCTGGGGAAGAAGGTTACCTTTCAGATAAGACAAACTTCCCATTTCTGAGGCTTGGCAGCTTCCGCAGTGGGTTGATCTCGATGTATTCCCTGCTGTGGTGCTGACCTGAGTGGGGCAGGTAAGGCCTGAGACTGTGATGGCCCAGGGTAGAAAGATGTGGGATTTCCAGGGACAGAAATGCCTTCCTCTCTGTTTTCTCAGGAAGAGGAAACAGACCTTGAGGGACACTGTGGCTCACCCCAGGTCGTAGGAAAGGCAGTGACAGTACAGGGACCGGGATCAGGGTTCTTACCTCCTGGCCTGCCCTCACCCCAGGTCCCAGTCATGACCTCCCCCCTGTGCCCTGCCACCCAGATGACCCTTGGGCTCAGAAGCTGCAGGTGTCTAACCCCCTTTCCCAACTCTGGGCATGAAGCGCTCAGGGGCCCCTCACCCCTCAATATCTCCTCTTGAAGAGGAGCAGGACACCTGCAGCTGGTGGCAGGGAGCCTGGGCCCAGCCCAGAGCGGAATGTCCAAAGGGGAGCCTCTCAGCCTCAGTTGGGATCCCCTGAACAGGGATGCAACATCGGGGAGATGCTGAAACTCTCCCTGGGCCAGCCGCCTTGGGTTGGAAGCTTTTCTGGGACTCCATTCACATCCCATTCGCTTCCACAGCAGCTCCCGTGTCTCTTCCTCTACATTCTAGACTAGAGCCTTCTGCTTCTGTAAGCTGAGATTCTGGACCCCCTTGTGTGTGGGGGGCAGGGCTGGAGCCTGACCCCCTGGCCTCCTGTGGGGTCAGCACAGCCCTGAGCAGGTCTGCACTCTGGGAGGTGGAATGGACAGGCTGCGCCTCCGCACTGTGCCAGCCTTGTGGGCAGGTGCTACAGGGAAAGGGCCACCCCCAAGAAGGGAGAAGGGGAGCCAAGGTTCTCAGTTCCTACCCTCCCCCCTTTACCCTAGAAGAGCCTGCTCATCTGGGTGAGGGGGCAGTCACTACTGGAGACTGGCGAAGGCAGGGATGCAGCCTCCATGTTTCTTGGCACCTTTTCATTCCCTGTGGACTTTTGTGGGGTCCTATGTCTCTGCACCTCCCTGTGTACCCTGCCTCCCCCCCAGGACCAGGCCTCCCTGCTGCGGAAGACCTGACCTTTCAGCAGATCCACAAACTGGAAGTCGAAGGGGATTTTGTTCTTCTTGGCAAAGATGTAAACTGCGCGGCATGGTGCAGACAGCAGGTCCAGATAGAGCTCCAGGGACATGTCAGGACTCGTGAGGCAGGCTCCAGCTGCAGTGGGCCTGTGGCAGACTTGAGCCTGTGTCCAGCTGGAGCCCCTGTTCCTGTGCCCTCTTTTACCCAGGCCCAGGACCTGGCATTCTAGAACTTCTTGTTTCCCTTGGTGTTGTCATGAGGCCAGGAAGCCTAGAACTCTCAGAGCAGCAAGGGTTCCAAGGCAGCTGAGGAGTGAGCTGGGGAGATGCCCCTGGCACAGGGCTGGGGGAGGGTTGTGCTCCTGTCTCCTTATCC